TCACTCTACTGAGATTTAGCTTGCCAGGTTGGGTGAAGAAATCACTCGCGCTCTGCAGCGCCACTTCCAAACAGGTGTTGTGCTGCTGGATGTCGAGAAAGCCTTTGATCGTGTCTGGCACGCTGGTCCTATAGTCAAGCTTCATGACAAATATTTTTTCCATTATCTCTTGTAAAAATTATCATTTATTTCCTCAAAGCCAAACGTTTCCATGTCAAACTCAAGATACCTTCTCAAATGTCAGACCTATAGGGGCAAAAGTTTCTCAAGGTTCTGTCCTAGCTCCACTGCTCTATAATCCTTATACTAAAATTTCCTTCTACGCAGACGACACTTGTATTCACACTTCACAAAAGTAACAGACATATTGACAACCTGATACTGGACGATTCAGAAATAACATGGACTAATCAAATTAAATACTTAGGACTAATAATGGACAACAAAGTTTCTTGGACTCCCCACATTAATCATAAATTGAATAAATGTAACAGATTAGCCGGATTGCTTCATCCACTACTTAACAAGAACATTAAACTGACTCTCAAAAACAAACTGTTACTACCTATACAAACAAGTGATCATACCTTCATTACTTTATGGTGGACCAGTTTTCTCACAGATATCTCGGCAAAATAAAAAGAAACTGCAGGTGTTTCAAAACAAGGTAATCCGTAGGATTGTCGACGCTCCGTGATATGTTCGCAATGTGGACCTACATACGAATCTGAGCGTTGACACAATCCAGGAATACCTTGTTGGGAAACATACTGGGTTTCTTGAGACAGTTACTAAACATACTAATAACACCATTAAAAAATTATTCGACGATAACTTTACTATTAACGCTGACAGAACTACTCTCAGAAATCTAAAGGCTCCACTTCTTTTCTAAAGAATGAAATCCCCTTCCTTCCTTTCCCATCCTTTCCTATCTTATCCTTGCTTCCCTACCTCTTTCTGAACAACAAATTAACTTTAAACACAACATAAGTAGCAATTAGACTCTTCCATCACAGCTCAAGAGTGTCTCGCAATAACGCTACAATAAACTCATAAGAAGAAGAAAGCTGCACCAAGAGGGGGATAGCACAATTGGCCACATGCGCTTCTACGTGCTGCCTGTAAAGGCTTCCCTTTCAAATCAATCAATCAAGACTCACAGCATGAATAATTTTGGATAGTGTCTAAACAATCTAGTGGACCACCGCAAGTTAACAACCTCTAAAGATAACTAGACTGATTATGTATGAAAGTGTTTTGAACAATAATGCAATCCAGTTCCTTTGTATCAAAACTCTGCTAAATAACAAAAAGGGAACCTCCGAACATTTAAATCAAAATTAAAGCGTTTTAATAAAAGTTGATGATGCTGCGGGAAACTAGGCGAGGTTTGCCATTATAAATTTTAAAACTTTCCCTTTATCACAAAACTTATATCATAGAGACAATATTGCTGCAATTTACAATAATTAACCAACGCCTCGCCAACGCTCGTTCGAGATGTATGTAGTTTATTAAATTTTTCAATTATCCTTTGAGATATAAATTGAGATTAAAATGAAAGTTTGGTGAAATACGCACAGAGTTTATTGTTGAAGTGGATTGTTTTAAATTTAAAATGTGTTACTCAATTCAAATTGAATTAAAAGTAAATATCTTGCTTCGGAGTTCTATACGGATTAGATTCTCTAGGAGCTATTGTTCTTTCACCGAATATAATCCACAAACAGTTTCAGGAAATCCAATTTTCATTAAGGAACACAGTGAGTCGGAAAAGTGGTAACGCGTATGTTTATATTGGGCTGCAGGGGCGAAGGGGAAACTGAAATAGTTAGTGGTTTGGATGGGAACAGCTTTGAGAAATTTCTACTTCCTTAGCTGCAGGCGGCATAACGTAAATGAAAAATAAACAACAAGGTAGAGGCGTATCGATGGCAGAGCAAAAATTGCAGTATGTTATTAGAAAAAAAGACGCAATACAAGCCCTATGTGTACAATGCTTGATTTGATAATCGTAGAAAAGGACCCAGTCTAATGCAATTTAAATCTGCTTTTCCATTCTTTTCTCGACCACAATCGAAATAACTTGGTTTATGCTCAATAAATCAGTATGCAACAAGTAAAACATTTTCAGCTCAGCTAAAATCCGGAAAATTACTTCCAAACGAAAGAGATTTTAAGCAAATAAAACAGATAGTAGTAAGGCTGCAAAATAAACCCTTATTTATGGGACAATTTTATTTCCCCCTTCGCGTTTTCTTGTGTATGCAGTGTTTCTAGTATGTATAAAGATTGTTTTCATAGGAAGAAATTTATTTTGCAAAACAGGTAACCTTTATCTCCAAAGCTTAAGCCTTGCAGGTCGAAGTTGTTACACAACTCAATTTATTGTGGATTGTTTGATTATGACCGTAACAAGAGTTACACTATAGCTTTGCCCAGTCTAGTAAACTTATTTAATTTCGCAGTTTCCTGTAATATGGAGAGAAAACTTCAGAAACTAGTTCTTGTTCATGATATATTTCAGAAACAGAATGTCATTGGTTTAGTTTTGAAAGGTTTCGCGTTTCCATTTAGCAAAAACAAAACACAATCATTGTCCTTGTAATAATTGAGTTTTATATTGAAACTAAAAGAGATTTCAAAAAAATAGCAGTTTTAAGTGATTAAAATGAAACACAACAAAGTCCTGCTTAGAATCGTGCAAAACTTTTACCTGATTAAACTAAAATATTTAACCGCAAATAGACCATTGTTTGTCTTAGGTAGGATAGTCTGAAAATGGTGAAATACATTAGGGAGTAGGGACTTCAATTATTCAATAAAGCAAAGTTTCGCCTCAAAAGTTTTCAAAATAAATGAATCTTGGAATATCAAGTTGTTTCAATCTTTTTATGCTGCTATGGTGTTGGAAACTCATTGTTTCCACGAGTCAAGAGAATTACTGTTCTACTGTATATTTTATTTTCATTCAATTTCTTAATTGTTGGTATCAACTTATATTATAATTGGTTTATGCTGCTTTCTGCAAAGTACCGTGATATATTACTTTTGAAATGAATAGTCCGCTACCGTTGCCACTGGGAACCATGCGGTTGTCATTGGGCTAACGTCATCTTACGTCTTGCTGTTGGCCAGGGCTTCCGTCATTTTATCCTCCCATTTTGGAATATCGATTTATATTGAAATGTCCAGTGGCGGGGGTTGGATTATTGTCGATTTTCGTGTACGAGTTGCAACACTTTCAAAAAGTTCAGCACGCAGGTGGGTATTTTATGAATGAAATCAGCCATTTTTTTTACAACTGCATTCCCCTTACCGTTGCCCCGTAAACACAGAGTCGCTGGGCAGACATTACAAAAACAATCAGCAGGCTAACTCTCACGCGCATCTTTTGTGCGCACGCCGCCATTAATGGATACCATCCTGTCATTAAACGGCAGGGACGCCGAAATTATATTTTATTTGTTTATTTCTGACAGAGGTCATAGGCGTGCGGTGTAGAGCGGAATTTTAGCTATGATTTTCAAAGTGATTTTAGTATACTTATTCGTGTTGTCATTTATCGTGTTATCTGTTAACATTGTTGTATATTTAATAATAATAATAAATTACTAATTTATAAATATTATTATATGTAAGTAATAATAAATTAGTTTATTTAAAGCGAATACGACTCTGTGACACGAAAGAAAAAACCTAAATTATTGTTCATATACAGTGTGATTTTTTAAGTGTGCAACATATGGGGATTTTTTTTAGTAATAGCACAACCCAAATACAAACAAGGCCAAAAGTTAGTGCATGTCTGATAATTATATTAGGTGCACTTAGAATGGTTGCAAGTCAAACAGCATACAGGGTAGCTCAAACAATATCAAAGCTGGTACTGTAAAGTACCCTTATTTTAGAAAATTCAACAAAATGTTATAGAGAAAAGTTGTTTGGAATTAAAAGTTATGCCTAAATACCAAAACATAGCCTCTTAAGATTTTTTTTATTTTTTTCTCGAAAAAAATATATAATTTCTATATTTTTTTACTTTTTATTTCCGCCCTTAATACTTTCAAAAATTAATTAAAATTAAATCAATTTTACATAACTTTGTTCAAATTCAAGCATATTTGTAAAATTACGATAGATTTTTAGTTTTTTATGGAATCACAAAATTCATGTTTGTTGCAATGATATTCAACACAACTTTAAAATGACGCAATTTTTTTTTCTAACAAGTTAAAACATTACTACTGATAATAGCCATATTAAAAAAACTCTCCTTAAAGTGCAAAAGTTTTATTTTATTTAAGTAAATATAAGTAGAATTTTGATATTTTTTGAGCCACCCTGTATGCTGTTTGACTTGCAAACATTCTAAGTGCACCTAATATGATTATCAGACATGCACCAACTTTTGGCCTTGTTTGTATTTTGATTGTGCTATTACTAAAAAAAAATCCCATATGTTGCACACTTAAGTAATGACACTGTATATGTATATTATTCATATATACATATTCGTCTCGTATCCCAAGATGACCGCTAGTGACATCCTGACCATGAATTCCTTTATGGGTCTGTTCCCACAGGAGTCTTTGACAGTTTGCAAACTGTCAGTGAGCATCGCCCATACATGTTTTCAATGCTGTCGTTCCAAGATGAATCTGTAACTCAGCTGAGCGATTGTTTCTGACAGGTTGCAAACTGTCAGAGACTCCTGGTGGGAACAAACCTTATAACACGGGCTGTCACTCAAGTAAGCCTGCTCTGTGGTATAACCTCAAAAAGGGAAAAATAAAACAAAACAAAAACAACGTTCAACGTTTTTCGTTGCTTACTTTCGAAAAATCGAATTGTTTCACATTTTCTCTTATTTTCTTGTGGAAAATTGAGTGAGTGTCTTGTGCGTCATTTGGTCGATCGACTACGGTCTGTGTGTCAGAATCGGTGAGTTCATTTTTAATTAATTCTGCATTTCTTCATAAACATAAATAAAAAAGATGAGTAAAACTGAGAAAAACGAAATATTAGTTTTAAAACGCAAGAGCTGTTTGGCCAGGATAGAAGAAATATTCGATTATGCCAATAATAAAACGGCTGATCAGTTTTATCAACAAAATCTTGCAGCTCGACTAGAATACTTGGACACCCTCTACGAGGAGTTCCAAGAGCTTCAAAACAGCATAATTTCTTTGATCTCAGATCGTGATTTTGATACACATGACCTTGTCAGAGCCACCGCGAACCAATATGTATATGGCATTCGGGCAAAAAGAAATGAACTTGTTTTGACCCCTTCGTGGTCTCGCAGGATAAACCATCAACAGCCGTCGTCTAATGTAAACAGAATTATTCTAAAGTTGGACATTTTTATTCCCACATTTGACGGGAATTTAGAAATGTGGCCCACTTTCTTTGAACTTCATAACAGCCTTGTTCATGGTAATACAGACGTGCCAAATGTTGAAAAATTCCGATACTTAATGACACTTTTACAAGGGGAACCTTTCAAAATTTTGAAAAAATATTGTTATATCTGATGATAATTATTTAATTGCATATGACATGTTGGTTGAAGGATATCAAAATAAGCGTATATTAGCTACTTCTTATTTCAATGCTATATATGAGGCCCACTTTATTAAGAATTCAAATTTAAAGGATTTAAGACATCTTGTGGATACCTTTTTAACTTTCAATATTCTTTATAGAAAACTTGATAACAAAACCCGTCAAGATTTTGAACAAGAGCACGTTAAAATTGACATGCCCACATACGAGCATCTTAAAACATTTCTGTCCAATAAGTGCAAGGCTCTAGAAACGGTTCAAGACATAGACTACAATTTCTCTGAGTCATATTAAAAACGGAGCGCACGAACACAAGCATACTTTGTATATTTTATTTTCATTCAATTTCTTAATTGTCGGTATCAACTTATATTATAATTGGTTTATGCTGCTTTCTGCAAAGTACCGTGATATATTACTTTTGAAATTACTAGTTAGCGTTATTTTTTGACGCACAAGGTTATAGTGCAACCATCCCGCACCTCCGTGGTGAGCTGTAGGGAAATCTCACTTACTTCGTGTCTAAGAATACACACGGCAATTCGCAACACGCGACTCCGAAGAAAAAAAGGGGTAGAAAACAGCCTGCCGGCTAATTTTCCTTACTTTTAATGTGCCATCGCACATACTGCTCAGCTATCGAAGAAATTATTGACAACAAAGGTCGAGGGGTGCACCCCAGCGAAGAACGGAGCGTCTGAAGTCAAAGGGTGAGTGCATTTTTGTAGCTTTGTGTGTCCGACATCTTTTACTCTATTCAATTTAATAGTACTGCAATCAGCAAAATTGTTAAATGTAATAAATTACGGTCCTTCGTGTTTTCACCAAAGTCTCGTGGTGACAATGGATATGGCTCTTTTTATGCTGAAAAACTATGAAAATGAACGATTTTTTATATCACATAAGAATGATTGAAAATCTATAAAATTGTTAAAAATTGATCATAAAAAATGATTCGATTTTGTTCGCTCACCTTTTTCTCGTGCACCAAATCTCGTGCAAATTAAATCTATTTTAGCCGTAGAACAACTAAAGTTCAATTTACTTTCTTACTAAAGAAATACCGGTGGAATGCACCGAAATGAGCCTTCACTTAGCTGCTACCGAGGATGCTACTAATCAAGATTTATCAACTTCTACCTTATATTTTCATGTGTTTAAGATTTAAGTTCACTATTTGCTCTTTTTTTGCCTATTAAAATCACGAAGCTGAACAAACTGAATTTAAACGTGCATTTATCTGAATAAAATCGTTCCAGGTTCGGGTGATTTTCTGCATCATAAAAATCAAATATTATGCAGGATATGAGAAAGTTTACCTTAATAACAGTCACGGTATATAAAGAGAGCCTGAATGTTGAAACATGCCACAATGAATAATCATTTTACTTAAGAGGGCCAGTAATAATGATAGAGGCATTTAATTTTGGTCGATAGGGCCATTTCTTGGTGGTTGCTGATCGATTGTAATGCGCGGAGCTTTTGTTTTTGTCCTCGTTTTTTGTGGTTTCCTATTTTTACGAGAAGCTTTACAAATCGTTTGTTTGTTAGGGGATTTCCGGTTTATTGTGTAACGGTTTCGATTAGTTTAGGATTCTGTATATAAAATGTACATAAGTATCATAATTGACCACCCTATTTTGTGTATCTTGCTTTAGGGGAAAATTGGAGGGTGGCAATTGATTCTCACTACCAAGATAAAGTAGAATCAATTCAGATTTTAGAGTGAAAATTACAGTGAATATCCTTCTTTAATGTAGCTGAGTAGTTCAACAATAGCCAAAGATAATTTTTGTCTCGCGCAGTATCGATAACCATGGGATTTTTTATCGAATTGGTAGAAGACAATTTCCAACTTACCATTACAGCCTTCAATAAATCGGTTTCATGTTTGGAGTTGCCAAGTTTGTTGACTAGAAAGCCCATCAGAATTCAACAAAGCCAGAAGAACCGACCAGTGAGATACAAAGGTATAAGACCACGTTGAACAAGTTCAAGAAAGAGCTGGGAGGATCCGAGAGGAAGTCTTGAAGGAAGTACTGTGAAGATATAGAGAGTACTCAAGATTGTGCTAGACTTCAAAGAAATCTCTCAAGGGGCCCGAAGACAACAACCTACAAGACACATTTACTGATATAATTTAAAAACTATAACTTCAATTATGAAAAATAACACTGTCAGTTGTGGCCCCTAACACTTTCACAGACATGTTTTATTGGGTTAATTTGGAGTACATTTCAGTTACCTACTTTATTTTATTTAAAATTGGTGTGCTTTCAACCACTCCACCAATTATTAGTGAAGAAAATCGTTTTTCCTCTCCAACATCCACTTGATATTCAAGGCATTTATCTACAAAACTGGAAGTTTTATATTAAAATAAAACACAAGTTCCAAATTGGATACTTGATACATCGTTTCGAGAGTTGAAAGAGAAATATCCTCAAGACGTTCAATTCTTTATTGGAAATAAGCCAAAATGCAAAAACCTTACGACAATAAAGACTAGGATTCGATGTATCTCTTCTGCATATAAGTCTGCTTCCTTTTGTTGGCACATCTATTTGATATTTCAATATCGACGAGGAATATATACGTAAAGGTGAAGCAAAACGGTTAAGATTTAATGCTCAATATTTAATTTTTCAATTTACGTATTATGCTAAATCATAAAGAAAATTTGTATGTATATCTTTTGTAAATACAAAAGTTGAGTTTTAAAAAAAAGCTGATATACTTATACTTTCTGGGAATCATCATCGTGAGCAACTTACTATTCCCAATCAAAAATACTCACTCATAAGTTCTCACAAGGTTTTTACCTTTTTGAATTCTGCACTGTTAAAGACAAATAAATTCTAATTTAAAAAGGATGTTCGTTGACGCAATACTTTCACTTGAAATTCATACTTTGACAAACTATGATATACATTTTTATAATAATTATTTTTGCTTCAACTTTTATACACTCATTATTATCAAATTACAACTTTTCTTCTACTTTCTGTAGAATAACACCATCTAGAACTCAAAATACACTCAACGAAAAGCTGTTAACCATTATTAGATTTCCTAATAAAACAAGAGTCTTGGTCTGGCTCGCAGCGAGAGAAATTACACGAAATGTTTAACCCTAATAAAATTGTTCGGTTTGGAAGTTCCAGAGTTTTAATAATGCCGTAGCAAGTGCAGTCAGTTTTAGCAGAAAATTTAAACTAACTAATACAAGGGAAATCGAAATTTAGAAGTTTAGGTTAAGGCTAGGGGCAATGTCACGTTGTGTGCATTTAAATGGCGCTGATTTTGGTTAATTCTAAATTATTTTACATTTGGAGAAAAAGAACTTCACCTTCCGCAGCAAACTTAAGGTGGAATAACGATTTTCAATCAGCGTTTTAAATATGCTTCATTAATCTTGCCTTCCTCTTGAGTCAGTTAATTACATGAGATGTCTTAAAAGATAATTCCCACCGAAAGAAAATTCAATTTCTAGAGAAATGAAGTGAGAACTACATTAACTCCTGCCATAAGGTATAACAGAATTTTGTGAGAAGTAAATATCGCAAATACTCTCTAAGTTTCAATTGATATTGATTTATTGAGGTACTCAAGTTGAATTGCCAGATGAGAAATTTTCTACAAATCCGCGACCAAGGGCCAAGGTTTAAGAACAATAGTATTGGAATAAAACAACAATACTTATCGATAATCGATAATGAAAAGACTGATAGATAAAATGTTAATACAAGGAGAGTACATACAGAAAATGTGTTGTAGTTTATCAATTTTTTTTTAGAATTAGAATATATTATGTACCTAGTTTATATGTTTTTCTATTATCAACTCATAACAGTACACAAGACCATGCATTATACAAACTAAGTAAATTTCTAAAGGAGGTCACCCTCGGACTATTAAAAACAGACTAACTTTGCTTATGCCAGCAATAATTTTGATATAAATTCACGCACTGCGGTAATGCAAGGTGAGGTTGGTCTCGACTGCTTTATGCCTGATAAGGTACGAGCCTAAAATACCTGCTTTCTTAGCTGGATAAGACTAGGTATGTTCGAGACTGTGAAACATGTGGATCAAAGTCTCGTCTATAGCAGCCGTGTCTCAGCGTCCCCAAGTTTAGACCTACAAGAACTATGCTTCTATTATTTTAGTGCTTCTTGGGTTCATGAAACATTCTTACATTACCGAGGGGCATTAACGTATTGACAATCTAACATGGTCCGTCAGGGACGAACATCTGCGGTGTTGGGATTTTGGTAAATCTTCTTGAACTATAAAGTGTAATTAAGGTTTAGTAATAAAGCATAATAATATTAGTGGTGTTATTCCTTTCCCCATACCCTCTCTTTTCAGATAAACCCTTAGTGGGCGCAGCCAAGTGTAGTAAAAGTGGTGGCATCGCTGACCACAGCCAACCTAAGCCTGACAAATGGTGAAGGCACCTAAATGAACCGGGTGTTGATATCCATATTAATCACCTAAGAATCAAAGGCGGAGAAACCCCAACTAACGATACCTAATGATTTTTTCCCATCCCCCAAACCACTGAATAATAAAATCACATATTAGGTGGTATGAATAAAAACGAAGTACGTGCTACTACTACAGGTATTAGTATATTCTTCGCAGTATTTACTTC